TGATAAGCAATAATCAGCAATTTCATTTGAATGTAAACACTTTATGGTTTGTTCAATAGATACGAAAAAAATAAACTGCTTAAGAAATTAACTTCCCCCCCCCATAATTCTATTCAACAAAATGAAAGGAAGGTGAAGAAAGTAAGGAATGAATTCTCTATATCAACTATCAGTATTTTTATTCGAACAATAGTTGATCTAGTAAGATAGACAGACACATCATTAACATAATTTGAAAATAAGTTAGCTATCCAATGAAATAAAATCAAGGACGATTTCCCTGTAGATTGAACATAGATTTTACTGTTTCTTTTGAATGAATGTACGCAAAAATAGACATTTGGATCATAAGCTCCAAAATGCCCTGGTACGGCCGAGGGTGGGCAGAATCAGCCCAACCTCTCGAAATGCTCTCACATGGCCACGCATATACAGCCACTGCCATGGAAGTCCTACTCATTGCCTTATCGTGACTGTGGTGTTTACGAGATTGGAAGGACGAAAAGCAAATGTCTGGCGCTTTAACCGTGTTGGTAGGTATGGAGGATCCACCTAGGGAAGTTGGAAAACCCTGATTCCAAACTAATGATGCACATGGGTTTCAGGATCCTGAGGGAACAAATGGCGTATGAACTTATTGTTGGTCACTGGGGTACTATGGAACTGCATCTCCTAACGTTGCACCACTACCTTGTGGATTAGAACTTTAGGTCAAAGGCTCCGGGTGTGCCCCCGTACTAAAACCATCTGCTTCGGTTTGGGAACTCGGACAGTATCACAGCCGTCAGACATATCGGATGATTTATGTGGCTCATGTCTATTTGGTGCCTTCTTGTATCAATGTTTGTGTTTAAATAAATAAATAGGCTCATAAACTAAGATAAATAACGGTAGCACTGGTTACGTCATCAGCGTCTCGATAAATATTGAGCAGATAGTAAAGTTTTATAAATAAAATAGAAATTTAATTTGAGTCATCAGGTCACATGATTTTGTTGGCAACTTTTTCACGGATTGAAATGAATTAATGAGTTTATCAATATCAGGGAACTTTTTAAAAAAACAATACATAGCCATGAATACAGCCAGTAAGTTATAAGCAGAATAGAAACTGGTACATAATATGGATTGATACAAGCCTCCACAATACAACAGGCAAGCTAGATGTAGCTATCACGATAAACATCAAATGAATGGTATCAGTAATAGATAAATAACGATTAGGGACAGAGAATATGATTCGAGAAGAATGAACAGATTCATAGAATCAAAGGTCTATAACAGTGTAGAGACTCAGAATCTGTGAAAAGATAAAAATAATGAATGCATCTACTTCATTGAGATTGATTCTAAATCATGTTACCCAACCACTATTCATGATAATCTTGGGAACCCAAATGAGGTAGTTCACACCTACCTAAATAGATCAATTCAACAGTCAGTGAATTCAAGTAATGCTGTCTTGTATTGGTTTGGCTGGCCCTAGCTTCCTTATTAACTTACTACTGTATCAATTAAAATTTACGGTTAAGATAAGGGGTGTTTAATCAGACGTAACATATATCCTGACGACCTCACCAAATGAAGATTCACTATATTATCGAATGATTTGTTCTCTTTGTTAGTACTCGGTGGAGCAAGATACATGATCAATCCTTTTAAGACAACGATGATCAAGTTCCATTTGCATTTCGACGGAATGGTAAAAATATATCATATTATCCGTAAGACCTGAAGAATCTAAGATACCATGGAGAAGTAAGTGTACACTGTTGAATAATTTCAAAATGAAATGATATAATTTCCCAGTGCTCTTTGGCCTATGATGAGAATCAGTAACGAAATGGTCATATATGTTTCACTAGTAAACCTATTGAAACAAGAGACAATTAGAATATAACATTTCAATGAATAATGTATTGAAAACAAACCTATATATATCTAACTACAACATAACAACTAAGTGGTCTGAAGGGTTAAGTGCTTCGATTGATCACATATAAAATACTGAATACTTATTGTTAAGGCATCCTATACTAGAGCCACACAGCTGCTCAATACATCATGTCTTTAAACTGTTGTCTAGCTAAAATCAGTTAGTGATATAAAGTGAATAATTTGAAAAATTTCCAACACAGCCTATACTAAACTTAACTAAACAGATTTTCATATTAGTCAATACATCGATGTATGATTTATTTTCTGACCAACAAGTTGCTCTTTAAAGACATCTATGTAGGCTCAATTACTGATTCAAATGCTTTTTTCTTGTAAACGTCTATTATTGAATAGTTTCCTGAAAAATACAAGGAAGCATATGCAGTATTATGCTGTAACTACATTTAATATATAGCCATCCCTTTAAAGAAAACAATTAGTTATGAAAATCAAAATTATTGTTTCGCCAAATCAATATCAATACATTTCAAACACATAGTCCCTTTATTATATTCAGGAGAGTGAAAACAAAGATTGGTGCAGAACAATATGAATTTATTTTATTTCTTTAGGTCCTCATCAGCTGCTTACAACATACAGTATTTAAATTCAACGTTGCCTCCAAATGCCCTGGTACGGCCGAGAATGGGGAGAGTCCGCTCCTTCTCTCGAAATGCTCTCACATGACCACGTGTATATAGCTTCTGCCACGGAAGTCCTACTCACTGCTTTCTCGTGGCATTACTGTTGTCTACGAAATCGAAAGGAAGGAAAGCGAATGTCCGGCGCCTTAACCGGGTTGGTGGACATTGAAAGTCCACCTAGGAAAGTTGGAAAACCCTGATGCCAAACCAATGGTGTACACGGGCTCCAGTATCCTGACGGACCAAACGGTGTATGAATCAATCGTTGGTCATCGGCTACCATGGGATTGCATCTCCTTACGATGCTCCATTGCCTTGTGGATCAGATCTTTAGGTTGAAGGCTCCGAGTGTGGTCACTTAAGAAAACCACCTCCTTCGGTTTGGGCACCTGGGCAGTATCACAGCCCTCAAATAAATCAAACGAGATTTGTGTGGCGCATATATATCTGATGCTCCTTTGTACCAATATTTCTGTGTTTAGATAAAATAAATTCAATGTTATCACAGATATTGACATGTTTATGAATACGAAGGCGATTAAAGATGAATATGTGTATCATGATGTAGTGAAGATTTCAATAGAGTTAATAAGGTCATAAAAATGTTGTTCCAGATAAATAGATGAAGTTTGAGAGGCAAAGTACTAGAGCATTGTAATAGTGATTAGAACACATAGGGTTAACAGACGTTAGATGATTGTGTAATGAAGTGACTGAAAGCAGATTAGTGTTAACAAATAAAGGTATAACTTGCAATCAGTCGATTAAGAATTAAAGAAAAATGACAATAATATAAGCAAAACTTGAGGAAGAGTTGGGATGATGAATGACGCAACAAAAAGGATGTAATGTTACCAAAGTAAAGAAAGATTTATTACTGCTTCTTTTTGGACATATAGATCTGGTTTTCGACGTTTGATCGTCATCGCTTTGGCAAATTTTAGATTAGATTTTGATTGTTTATTAATCACCTTCAAAGACTTCAGTGTATCCACTTGATGTTCTGTATCGGGAAGATGTTTCGAGATGGCATCGCTGAATGTTTGCAATCCACCTGACCTTTTGGGAATATGTTCTTTGAATCGCACATTATCATTTCGCTCAATATTTAGTAATAATGTCAAGTGGTCTTTGGGTAAAAGTTTCGACTGGGGCGTGGGTGAAACGAAGTATCGGTTCGCAAAATTAACTAGTTTAGATTTAAACCAAACTTTTTTTGCTTCACTAACTGGGTCCAACTCTTCCAATTGATCAAATAAATTCTCAAATTAGGTTTTTGTGTCAATTCGGTTGTCATCCATTTTGAGGATATGAAATTTAAATCCAAGCGACGAAGCATCTGTTTCTATTTGATTTAACTTAATTATAATTAGCTCCTTATAAATTGAAACATTTATTTGAATTCGCCAAAAGTATGAACCATATAAATATTGGTAAGCTGATGGTTTGCTTTGATGTAACGTCATTGTTTACTAAAATAACACTTCTTGAAACCATAGACACAATTTGCCAGCATTCTGATAAACTACCTATACCAGAATCAGAACTGAAACGACTGTTAATCATGCCCAATAATGTCATATACCGAAAAATTGATGGTGTACCAAACGGGAAGTCCGTTAGGTCCTGCCCTGGCAGATATTTTCATAGTTAATTTCAAAAGAACCAAACTGAAAGGAGAGATTAGTGAAACAGTGTATTATTTGATGTATGTTGATGACACATTCATTTTAACAATGAATGATTTATTTGTCGTAAATAGTCGAATCAACATATAAAACACACTTTTATGGTTTGTATAATCATTTCCAACGGATAGCGGATTTTTTCGATGAAAGTTAGTGGGGACTGGTCTGATTTTAAGAAAGACGTCAATGATAATAGAAAATATTTGAAACTGATCAATTAGCATTGATATGTATTCCAGAATATTATTCATCTACTGAATTTTTAAGTTAATCAACAATTATTAAACAGTGAATCGACTAAAGTCCTTAATATAGTTAAATCGTGGTAAGTATCAAGACCTAGGAGGAAGATTTCCCCCCTATTCGGGACTTGTCAGCTGAATAAATCAGGATTATACTAGTGACGTCACATTAAAAACTGAATCAAGTACCTACCAATTCATAAACCTACACGTTTAGACGATTATCAACTTGCTACAAGAGTATAGAACTTGTTGGATTCCGATTCAATAGTTTGAACGTGATGTCTTCATCACAAGACCTGAAGGTCAATCCCAGATTCGATTACGTATGAAGCAATTCAGCGAATCTCACCCTAAGACTAAACAAAGGTCTAGCTGTGGTATTATTATGTACTGAAAATAGATTTCAAGATAATAATCTAACCTACATACTTACTTACCTGGCCATCTACAAATGTGATCAGCCATAATTAACACAACTCATAGTAGTGTAACAACTAAAACTGTACTCAAAATGAACACAGGAATAGTTAAGTATTTATTTTGTAATAATAACAGAAGGGATTGTAATATTGTCCCTTTTTCACTTTAAAAATAACTGATAATTAATAGTAACTAAAACAATAGTCACAACCGTAAGACATCTGCTCCAAAATATTGTGGAGAGAGAATAAAAGACTGGTGGGGAGAAAAAAAAGCTGACTAACAATAATAATAGTAACATAACTTGACGAATATTTTGATTGATCACTTCCAATAGAAAAAAAAACAGGTTTCACATAAGAAAAATAAGCTAGGTTGTCATGGATGGTAGGTAAGGTAAAAAAAAAAGGAAAAAGTTGATTACAATAGAGGACTAAGAAATAGACGGTTAGTACCAGTGAAGTTCGGAAAAACAACATCTTATTAAAAAAGACAATAAATAATAAAAGCCACAACCTTAATGCTTGATCAAGAGGGGAGAAGGGTTAAGAGGAAAAGATTGCAATAATATGGATAACAGTAATAATAACCATGGTGGTAGTAGTCGTATTAACTAACGATGTATGTGCATGTAATTATATGGGACCGGAGACATTTTAACAGAATAGATAAGTACACAATAAATAGTAACAATAAAAGTAAGTTATGCAGTTCGTAGAAATAGACTAATACCTATGAAAGGTTGCACAGTTCACACAAGAGTCCTGTGTAACTATAGCAACACGAACACCAGTGTTAATAATAATGCAACTGATAATAGTGCATGATAAAAAGAGATAAACAGATAAATAAATAAACACATTGAAGATAAAACACTTCTTCGTGATATGACAAGAGAGGAGAATGAATTAAGAATGGTTGTCTAACTAGAAAAGTAATAACAATGAATGAACATACACTTCAATGGAAATGATGATGATAATAGTAATGATATAAAGGTATATTGAATGTATCATTACCTTCTATTTCTGTGATTGTTATTCATTTTACTCTTAGTTTAAAGAAGGTCAAGGAGATGAAAAGAAATTAAGGGAACTTAAGAACCACATTCAACTATTCATTTATTGATTGATGACGGATTTTGATAATTTAATTAAAGTTTCTAAACAAGAATAATCCAATAAAGTTGATGTATCACCGAATTCATAATCTTCATTAGCTATTTTTCGTAAAATACGTCGTATAATTTTACCACTACGTGTTTTTGGTAGTACAGGGGCATTCTGAACATCAAAAGAAAGAAAAGAAGGTTTACCATGGAAATGATGATATGTAACAGAAATATGAATTAAAGATAATGTAGATACAAGAGGTGAAGGGTTAAACTCTCAAAAAAGTTGTCATGAATTGATCAATATTAGATAATTATTGGAGACCTGGGGATACTGAATGACTATATCGTCCGAGTATAAGGCTCTTCAGAAGTCCCATTCTAGAACAAATCGGCTTATATGTGCTTACAGATTTTCAATGTTGGTCTAACTTCAATTGGTTCATTATTTTAATGAAACTCTACAAAATAATGAACAACTCTAAAACCCTGATGCCCAATGTTGGTTTATGCATACTTTTTTTTGTGTTTTCGCACTAGATTCTGGATGTTTTTTCTTATTATCATTGTTGATACTGTAGTGTTTAGATCATTTGTGTTAATCATCCTACAAATTTCATCCTGTCATGTTGATATGGTACGTGAAATTAAGCCGACGCACATTTATTCCAGCCTCTACGTTGCTTATGAATAACTAATCGTCGAGTTAATACGTTAGTGTAATCTTACCAAATTTAATAGATATTGACCTATTCCCTTTCAAAATACTTCCAAGTTGCGACAATAAACGTCTTCCATATTCATTTCCACTCTTTAAAATACCCCTCAAAGTCCTCTGAAGCAGGGCTCTTCAAGAATATGACCGTTTCTCCACACAATGTTTTCCTAGAATTGTGTACATAGATGAATATATCAAACTGAAGCCATTAACAATCACTTGATAAGTGAATCAGCGATAAGGGGGATGAGATCAGACTCACTTAATGTTTGACTCAACACAGGGAGTAGATGGTCACCTCGATTTTGCAATCATAATTATTTTAGCTGAAAGGCTCAACTGACTTGAAAAGAGCTATTTTCCTGAATGTTTTCTCTTCATAAATAAACCTCAACATTTATTGCATGAATTTTCCGAAATGTTTTTGTTATATCCCCTGGTGAATCATGAATGGTAAATCTGAGGTCTATTATGGACAAAGGTAATATGCCTAATTCCTATTGTATAGTTGTTAAATAAGTGACCTAACTGTATTCGTGTTCCTCTTACCGTAACCTTATTTTAACCTTTGAACTATTATTATTGATTACTTTCCCCCTATCCACAGCCACATTGGCCAATTATTGTACAAATATTATTTTTCTATTTTTTTGGTATATGGGGTCTGTTTGGTTAGTATATAAACCCAGTATGCTTGTGAATAATGATTCATATTACCGAGGCTGTTATTTGTGTTCTGGACTCAACTGGCTGGGTTACGCAGATCGCAGGATCGGTTAGCACTCTAGTCTGCTCGTTCGGGTTTCGAGTCACTGCTCCAGTCGATAATTCGCTGCTCTCTAATTAACGGTCTCATCACCTCACCCATCAACAAATAATCCACTCGGCCACAGATATAACAGTTTTCACCACCACTTGGCTAGGAAATTTTTGGAAACAGTGAAAAGGTTGGAAAAAGCATGGAATAAATACTAAAAGACTAGCCAAATATAAAAATGTCATATATAAGCGGCTTTGAACACATTACTCTTGAAATCTGAGGTCACACTCCTCGATGGACAAGACTAGCAATATTAAACCAGTTTTTCGAGGTTACTCACAATAAAATATCTTCCAACCAGATACAAAACATTCCCTGTAGTAACTCTTGTAAACTTAATTCTTTGCAATTCTGAACCAAAATGAGTTGGACCACCATTGAAAACCTGAAAGCACTGAGCGGCCAATTGTTCTTATTATAGGATTCTTCAGTGATACCCATCCACGACCACACACATGGGAATCAAACCCAAGACATTCAGTCTCATGAGTGGTCCCCAAACCTAAACTAACAAAATTCCACTGTATTGACTAGTTTAATCTAATAATATTACCTAAAACAATCATTAAATTGTATTACTTTTTACCATAAAGCATATATAGACACACACACATACACACACAAAGCATAATCATGATGTTTATTATCAAATGTAAAGAGTTAGTTTATCGGAGAGAGAAAAGAAAAAAAAGTTGAATAAACAATTACATTGCAATGTATAGTACGTGTTTAGTATTTTTCAGTCAACTGATCAGTATTATTATGATTATTATTAAGTGAATTCATTATAATACAATAAACCGTAGTCGATTAATTCACTCAATATGATTTTTACGGGTTCTAGAAAATCACATTGAACTTAGTCGAGAAAATAATTTAGTTTAGTTTTAAAATAGAAAATGAATAATCAAAAACTTTGAGCAAATTCTTGATAACTTTTATGCTTAGCAACAAAAAAAGAAACACAATGAGTAATTAAGAATATTGTCAGTAATTGGTAGTGCCAATAAAACTCTTTATCACTATGATCATTATGATGAATTCAAGTGATTCCATTCTTTTAATAAATCAAAATGTATCTCTACATAAATAGATATTATTTAAGATGAAAATTGTCACTTATAATTAGACTAATTACATAATTATTATAAAGTTGCTAGTAAAGTGACAATATGATGACATAAAACCAAAGTTTAATGCATACGTAAATGGCAAGGATAGGCAAAGTAACAACAGCATTCCTACAGTTCAACAACATATAAAACTTAAAACAATTGTCGACTAATATCAAAGTCACAATCTTCAATACGAATGTCAAGACAGTGAGTTATATTGTATGGGGCTGATATCTTGGAGAACTACTACAACCATCAAAACGGTACGAGTATTTATGAAAAATTATCTACGCAAGGTACTCAACATCCGTTGATCGGATACCATCAACAACAACCTAGTGTGGGGGAGAACAAAACAGCTTCGAGCTGAAGAGGAAATTGAGAAAAGACTTTGGGAGTGGATAAGACATACATTGAGGAAACCATCGCCCCAAAAAGGAACTGGCACAGCCGAGAGTGTGAAGAGTCCGCTCTCCCTCTCAAAATGCTCTCATATGGCCACGTGAATATATAGCCTCTGACAGGGAAGTCCTACTCACTGCCTTCTCGTGGTGGGGGTGTTGTTTACGAAATTGAGAGGACGGAAAGCGAATGTCAGGCGCTTTAACCGGGTTGGTGGATATGAAGGGTCCACCTAGTGGAGTTGGAAAACCCTGATTCCAAACCAATGGTGCACATGGGCTCCAGTATCCTGAAGGAACAAATGGCGTTTGAACAAATCATTGGTCACCGGCTACCATGGGACTGCATCTCCTTACGATGATTCACTGCCTTGTGGATCAGACCTTTAGGTCAAATGCTCAGAGTGTGGCCCCCGTAATAAAACCACCCGTTTCGGTTTAAGCACCCGGGCAGTATCACAGCCCTCACACAAATAAAATAAGATTTGTGTGGCGCATATATATCTGGTGCCCCTTTGTACCAATATTTATATGTTTAAATAAAAAATAAAAAGAGAGGAAATCATCAAACTGCATCACGAGGCGAGAGCTAACTTGGAATCCTAAATGGAAACGGAAAAGAGGAAGCCCGAAGAACACAGTGTGTCAGGAATGGGAAGTAGACATGAAAATAATGAATAGCCCAGGACATGGTTGGATGGAGAATGCTGGTGGGCTGCCTGTGCTCCTTAACGAGGAGCGACAGGCGTAAGTATGTAATAAAATTCATTCAATATTCAACAATGATAACGTTAAAATACATAGAGAAGTTGGATTGTAGAAATTATTATTACAACAATAAATATGACAATACATTAAACTATCATGTATGTAAACGATTGAGTTTACTTGTATATATATAATTACCTGAATGTAATCTGGAGTAGCAAATGGTCCAATTTTTGTTCGTATCATTTGACATAATTCTGATTTCATTTCTTGTGTAATTATATCAACATCCGTTAAACAATTCATATGATCATTTGGTATAGTATCTTTCAATGTAACAAAACAATATAAACATTCACCCTTAACAGGATGTTTCCGACCGACAACAGCAGCTTCACTAACATTTGGATCTAATAGAAGAGCATTTTCTACTTCTGCAGTACTAATAAGATGACCGCTAACATTCAACATATCATCTAAACGACCTGATGTATGTAAATATAAAAAAGCGAATAGAAAAAAATATTTATATACACAAATGTAATTTTATAGCTTTTCCTCAATTTATCCTAAAACATACACCAATTCTGGTACTTCTTTGTGTCAAGGCTGTAAGTTATCGGTGTTACGTTTTGAAAAATCGATTACTGAAAAACTTTTTTGATGAATAAAACTACAGTGATCATGGTTAAAGTAAAACTGAAAGCTTCAAACTATCAGTTTGGTTAATTTTTAATTCTATCACAAGTTACCATATATTATAAACAAGTGCAGATTTTTTCTTGTTACGATAACCGTAAGTACAGTTCTTCTAAATCGCATTTCCGTACGACTTTTTCCTATTTACTGATTGGTTCCTGCTACTTAATTTACTAGTTTTTGTATATATCTTAAAGACATCTTGATCTCTGTATGTATAGAATAGTTTCACTAAGAGCTTGTAGTCATTAATTTAAATCTTTCTTCTAAATTGTTTCGCTAATTCCAAGTCCCATTGTTGGAGACAATTGTCGAAGAGTTGTGTGCATCAGTTTCCGCTCTATCGAGTTCACAATAGGTTCTATTCGCAGTAGAATTATTAGCGATCGTTTACTCAGACAGACACTAAGATGAGAGATGGAGAATACTGATGCGACAACTCAATTTAATTAAAACGTCAATAAAACATATATGGGCATGAAAGATACGGGCACATCATACGATCACACACACATGATTCAGGTTACACATATGAATGACAAAATGACGAAGACTAAAATAACTAATATGTTCGAAAGTAAAGATAGATCGTGTAGGCATGTAACCTTGCCGGTTGCTACAACCGCTCTGCATAAGAATCTAATCTCAAATAAAAGAACTCTGTGATCTACTAAACAAGATACTTTCATAAGTAGGTCTTTTGATATCAATCAACTTTCCCAGACTAAATTCACGAGACTACGTAATTTCCGTTTGTACTAATCTCTCGAGATTTAATCATTTTTGGACGAAACAATCTTTCTTGTAATGATGAACAGGGTTAGTAGGTCCAGTAAATAATCCTAGTAGTGTTGCCGGTTCTCTTAGCTTAGAATCAAAGCAGATATTGATGATATTATTCAAAAAGATAATGTAAATTCGGAGACTAAACCATCCGGTTTAGAAAAACGACATCGAAAATTCACTTCTTTTCCATTTAATTTTTTTCAGACAACCGGATAATATAAACCATAAATTGTTAACTTTTGTACACTCTTACTAAAAAGTAATGTGGGGGTTAGTTTAATTTATAAGTAGTTTTGGTTACAGACAAATACCAGTTGGATTTCAGTCATGCCGAGTGTGAGGCGGTTACCTATCGATGATATTAGATGATTATAACGAGTTAATTGAAGTTAGATTTGTAAAACAGTCGTCTGAAAGTATCGAATTCACTGTGATACCTGAAAATATTTTAATTTGATCCATAACATAATCATGGTTCATTGTTTAGAGAAGTGTCCTTGATAAATATTATGTTTATAAAATATTTTAATTGATGTAAATAGTTAAAAGATATAAATAATTCAACAATGATTATCGTAAAAAGATAAATAGACAGGTAGTAAATACTAATACATAATAGGCAATGAATGGATCTATTGGAGAATAAAAGAAACACTGACAGTTAGAAATGACTTTCTGCCCAATCAATCGAGCAACAACAACAACAACAACCAGAGAAAACAGTCGAAATAAATCAAAAGTTGTTTTTCGCCTGAAGAATTAAGAAATACATTTGGATGAAAGAAAGGAATGGAAAGTAACCAATCATTTCGTTTACAATTAGGCATATACATACTAGTACTGTATTGAAAAGCATTCTAAACAAATAATGCTGGTGTTTTTTTATTCGATTGTAAAGGAAAAGGAAAAAAAAGAAATTCTAAACTACATTCATGAGAAATGATGTGTAGTTGAATATCAAGAGAACCATAAACACTAATGATAACAAATTAACTACTAATCTGGAATAGAAAATGATAGAAATTAACCCCTTTGACAAGGTCTAGTTTTGTTAACTCTCAGATTCGTTAATAAAAAGCAGAAATAAGGATAAGTGAATGGAGAAATAAACATTAAAAATTATAGTCAATTTGTAAAAATGATTAACGATGTTATTTTCTGTACATATCTGTATGGTTGAGCTAATGATTGAGGTTACGCTACTCAGATCACAAACATCCTTGAGTGTTTGCTTCATTTAAAAACAAGCATAGTGATCAATCACTCTTTTGCAGGATATATATATATATATCCGGTGACATAAATTCATAAATAGATTCAAGATGTATGTTATTAGGGTTCATGTCCAAATCAATAAAGTAAATGCATTTCAAACTTTGTTAGGTTAACGAACATGAAACTGTAACCCCTTTATGACAATGACTGTTTCATATTGATTTACCGTTGTAGCATCCAAAGTTACTGTTCTGTATGTCAACCTTTTCTAACCTCTTCCTTCTATGGTGAGAAGGTAGCATTGATGCTGATGGTTCCTATCTGGGGGAAGCACCACACTGACGCCACATTTGAGTACAGTTGGTAGTAATAATTCGCATTCATACCTTAATTTTGTTGATTTCAGTTTTACTACTCTCTAGCTGGGCTGCTTGGTATGATGGAATCTAAAAGAAACTTTTTTCTCAATATAGTTCTACTGGTCTATCGTGATAAACGGGCCCGTCCATCACGTCAATGTAGCAGCTACTATCAGGACCTATCCACCTACTTCAGATTGGGTACCCGGACAGTATTAATGGCTCTCACATAAAAACCGTGTGGCTCAAAACTGATTATGTATACTTGTACTTATCAAATGAACTAGATTTATTGCATATTGAACTATAATTTGAGCGGTTTTATCTACTAATTTGGAATTCTAACGAAAGTAATGTTTTCTTCCTCACTTATATGAACGTAATTCCCTATTAGAAACTGAAAAGTCATCAACTAGGTCGATCCTTTTACTCAAAGAGATACTTTGTCTTTTTTATAGTTTCAACTGTAATAAGCAAAATGTTTTAAGTCATACTAATAGCGATTTCATTGTGAGAATGGTAACTTACGATAACAGTATGAAACTGTTTATATACAAACGGATATGAAATAAAGAATATTTTTCTAATTCAACTCACAATATAATTACTTAATCAAATAGACTGAATCTATGAAAGACAATATAACTTCGTCAGATTTTTCCAGGACATATCACATTAATATAGAAAGATGGAATTGATACGATTGCAAAAAGAGTGCGAATCCAGATGATGAGCTCAACAGTTGCAATAAAACAAAGAAAGTATGTTTATCGACACCCATATGATTGATTTGAGATCATTCGTAATCGATTTCTAGAATCTCATCAGACCAAATATAGGCAAGTCCATACATTTAGACCAGTACATAATGATTACAAATTACAGATTACACATTTTAATGTGACCACTATCAAACTTTAATTATTTATTTTGGCATTATTAATTGAAGAAACAACTTTACTCGCTTTTATTTTACAAATCTTCACAAACCACCTCTCTATTGTTTCTTAATTAAAAAGTCGAAACCATAATCTGTGGACGAACCAATGCGATTTCAGGCCGCGGGTTTTAGATTTTGGCGCGAAATTAATTCATCCATATGGCTAAAAGCCTTTTTGTCATAACTGATTTCAGTTCGTAGTGAAAACACTAACTCTAACGTTAAACTCTAAATCCTAATGCTAATTTCTTACACTAATATAAAACCTTTTTTGACCCTAGTAAGGTGACTATTCTCAAGATCACCTTAGCATCGCTCAAAAGTCGTTCGTAAAATATAGTCTAACCATGGAAACTTTACTCAGTTTTTTATAAGTCGATTTAAGCAAAATACTATTACTTACCTGTTATCCAAAAATCTCCATCTTTATCTAACACAGAACCGTCACCAGCAACATAATAACCAGGAAAACGTTTAAAATAAACTGATTCAAATAATTCATAATTATTATTGATTGTTCTCATCATACCAGGCCATGGTTTAGCAAAGACCAAATAACCTTCTACATTGATACCTAGTTCTTTTGACTTGTCTGTTAAATCTTCACCACTTTCCGATAATATTCGAGCATCAATGCCAAAGAACGGTTTAGTAGCACAACCAGGTTTCATTACATTTGCTCCAGGTAATGATGTAAGCATATGTCCACCAGTTTCTGTTTGCCAAAATGTATCGACAATTGAACATTTACCATTACCCACAATATTATAATACCATTCCCAAGCAGATACATTGATTGGCTCACCAACACTTCCAAGAACCTAAAACGTTCATTTGTTTTTTGGTGAAAAAAGATGAACATGGGATTATACTACATTGTCACTCTTATATTCAATAACATTTGTAAACTTTGTTGTGAATACACCATCTCAATCAGACAATTATTAAAAGAAATGAACATTGAATTATGTGACAAACTTAAAGCTCTCCATACAGCAGAAAAAATGAGCTATTCTGAGTTGAAAACAAATCGCAAAGTTTAACATAGAAAATAAATATATCCAACTTCTTTGTTTACCTTGGCCAACTTTAGACCTAATTAGTCAAGTCTTCTTAACAATTAGGTTGAATTATATAAACCTTTCGGTCTTTCATTCCTTTAAAACTTAAATCTATCTTATTCAAATATTACTGTAATTATCATCATTATTACTTGCATTATTTACCTATTAATTTACTCGAACACAAATATTGGCACAAACAGGTAACAAAATATATATGGGCCACACAAATCCCTGAATTTATGTATGGGCTGAGATACTTTTCAGGCGCACAAATGGAAGCGGGTGATTTTCTTTAGAGACAGCTCTCCGAGCCAACGACCCATAGGTTTAATCCACAAGGCAACGGAGAAACGTTGGAAGATGCGGTCTTATGGTAGCCGGTCATATAAACTCAGTATATTTGAAATATAAAGATTCATACCGCAGAAGCTGAGATTGGTGTTTTTTGGACCTAACTGGCTGGACTAGACAAAAAGCAGGACCGATAAGTATTCTGGACTGCTCGTACGGGTTTCGTGTGTCATTGGCCCGATCGATAATTCGCTGCTCTCTAAGTGGCGGTCTTATCACGTTATACATTAACAGGGCATCCACTCGGCCATAAGTTATGACAAATTTGTATACTTTCTATTTAATTAAGCGTCAATTTAGTAGAATACAAATACTAGTTCAAAGTATTTTTTTTAAAATTTAACGGGATACGTCAATAGCAACAGTGATGTATTCATATAATACCTTACACTATACTATATACCAATAAAATTTATAATAATTAGAAATTGACAACGCAATGACAAATGCTTACTTTTAATGATGTACGATCATAACATTGGACGTATTGATCACCAGCCTTTATTAACGTACGAATTGCTGTTGGAGCTGTATAGAATTTCGTCACTTTATATCGATCTACAATAGACCAATATCGACCCGGATCAGGCCAAGTTGGAATGCCTTCAAATAATACACTTGTAGCACCGTTTAATAATGGTCCATATACAACATATGAATGACCTAAAGAGAAAAGATGATAATTAAGTTATTTTTGTTTGATCCTTGACTAAATATTTTGTTAATTTTTAAATGAATATAGGTCTTTTAAATGTTAACAATATCATAATGAACATTATATTGTACACCAATTATCTACCTGTTTAAAGTAATTATAATAATTGGAAATCTACCTAGAATTCCATGTACACATATACTAATACATATTTCTATTACTTGCGCGAAGTGTTTAAATTGTCTAGTTTGAAAAATGAGGATTAAGCTAAGTTTCAGATAGATGCTAAATAAAAAAAACTCAAACAGAAAGTCTTAACAGAAACTGATAATGATTGTAGAATCATTACCAGCTTACAGTTTTTTAACATTGTACACTTATAACTTTACATATGGAATTAAACCTACGACCTTCAGGTCTGATGATGAAAATAACACCCTTAAACTATTGACCATAATGGTCTAGGTAGTGGTTGAATTAGAGTAGATTAAGTAATATTCGATCTCATGACATAATAAATGATGAATCAAGTTTTTGAACTAATGAGTTATGATTCCAAAAAACTGCACGTACTCAGGCCCAAACTCCGAGCCTTTGACCTACAGGTCTAGTCCAAAAAGCAGTGGAGCAACGTTAGATGTAGTCCCATGGTAACCCGTGACCAACAACAAGTTCATAAGCCATTTGTCACCTCAGGATCCTGAAGCCCATATGCATCATTAGTTTGGAATCAGGGTTTCCCAACTTCCCTAGGTGGATCCTCCATACCTACCAACCCGGTTCAAGCGCCAGACATTCGCTCTTCGTCCTCTGAATCTCGTAAACACCTCAGCCGCGATAAGGCAGTGAGTACGACTTCCCTGGCAGTAGCTGTATACACGTGACCATGTGAGTGGAAGCAAGTGAACACTTCTCAATATTTAGTGAAAATTCCATGAAGACAAAAGAACTGATAAGTCCACCTAATCTCATTCGACAGTTACCACCTCTACATGAAACTGAATAATCTCAATTTCTGCTGTTTTGCATTATCCCGTTTTTGATATATTTCGACTGAAATTTTATCCATCTTAGTTAATATATGTACATTCTGTGCGCATTGTCTCGATATATCCATTATAGTGTGGTGTGGTCTACTTATATCCATATAAGTAGTATATGGTGTGGGTCAGATATAGAATGTATTTTGGCAGAAGACCGATCAGGAAAGAACTGAAATGAAGCGCAATCGTTTGGAAAATGCATGAGCAGTGGAATTAGAGAAGAAACAGTGAAGATTGAAACAATTGGTTGTTAATTTGCAAATTGACTGTTCATTGTATGGTTTTCAGAATTTACTGAGAGTCTGTAATTTTGCTTAAATACATTCGATTGTCCCCAACTAGTGTTCTGTTCACTACATTTGGTGTCGCTGCCAACCAGGAGGAGGAAGGGTGCTGTTCTGCGGACGCCGCTGCGGGTCTGGAGTGGAGGTGCTAGTTGAGGCAGTCTGGTGAGGAGAGGTGGCGTCGAGTGGAGTGTTCTGGCGGTGCGGCGTTGGCTGTAGCGGGTGCTGTCGACGGAGAGTAGCAGTGGGACGTGCGGCTGCTGTGCGGACATCGGATGTAGATGGCTCAGCAGGCCGGTGGAGTACGGGTGTTGAACGTCCCAGGTGCCGGGTGGATGCGGATGTTGGTGCCCCGGCAGGTCGACGGAGCTATGGAGGTCAGAGCGCCGCAGACTCGACATTCTGACGGAGAGTTTGACACAGATTGCAGTGAAAGAAGATAGTGGCGTGGCGAGCAGAACCACCGCATGGTCGAATGCTTTAAAGGGGGGACGAGTGTGGTGTGGTCTACTTATATCCATATAAGTAGTATATGGTGTGGGTCAGACATAGAATGTATTTTGGCAGAAGACCGATCAGGAAAGAACTGAAATGAAGCGCAATCGTTTGGAAAATGCATGAGCAGTGGAATTAGAGAAGAAACAGTGAAGATTGAAACAATTGGTTGTTAATTTGCAAATTGACTGTTCATTGTATGGTTTTCAGAATTTACTGAGATAGTCTGTAATTTTGCTTAAATACATTCGATTGTCCCCAACTAGTGCTTTGTTCACTACAATAGCACAAATTTATATACGTTCCATTGCTAGACCTATATATTTTTTTTATAGTGGCTATATCGAGGCAATCTACACAGGATGGACATATATTCACTAAGACTCATTAGATTCCAGCCAACAACCTTCCAGTTCTACTGGCGTGTAACCAACTCACACCTGACATGGCTGGACTGCAATTTTTACAACTCTTCGCTAGAACTCCGTGGATTACCTCTTGAAACTAGCCACTAATGAGCACAGGATAGGACGGGAGAGGAACTTTCCAGTGTTTTCTTATTTTCACTGGTTGTTTAAGATTAGTCCGTGATGTAAACTAAGAAAATTCAAAAATCTCTCCTAGAAATCCCCCATGCTAATAAACTATATAATGTTAATGATTTTCCATAAACACACTCAGTTGTATACGTTCCAATATAGAATCGATTTAAAATAAATTCATTATCAGTATAGCATAACACACCTGTTATCCAACCGGCATCAGCAGTACACCAATATATATCATCTTCATGATAATCGAACGTGTAGAAGAATGTTGTAGCTGTATAAACCATATAGCCACCTGTGGTGTGTACAACACCTTTCGGTCGTCCTGTACTGCCACTTGTATAAAGTATAAATAACGGATCTTCTGAATTCACCCATTCTACAGAACAATCAGTATTTTCAGGAATAGTACTGATTATATCATGCCACCAATAATCACGACCATCCTTCAATGGGACATCAAGCCTATTTAAAGTTAAAAAAAAGAAAATGGTGTTACTAGAAAAATATATCAGTAAAATAAAACTTAAACGGAAAAATAACGAGTCAAATAGACTGAACATCATATAGTAATAGAGAATGGCAATAAACTCCAACTAAAAATAGTGGTGCATAAAACATTTACAAAGTAAAAACTTATGTATTCAGATTTGAGCTATACCTTTCGAGTGTGTATGTATGTGTAGGAAATAGTGGTACTTCTCCACTACCCCCAATGAGATATATCGAGTGGACTTCGTAAATTATCCTTTTACATTAATAGATCACTGAATGGTAACCAATTTTATGATTATCTAGCCATTAGTGTTAATTGAATTAAATCAACCTTGTTTGGTCGATAGATCATTTTTGGTAAGGTCGAAATTTATTTGTAGTATGAGAAGAGTTGTTTCTTTACAAGTGTTAACATTTTACATAACAATTTCCTATCCTTGATTATTTATGTTTAAAAAAAGAACTAGATGATCAAATAAATAGAGTTTAATCAACTCTAACATCTACGTTTTATTATTTTTTATTTAAACACATAAATATTGGTACAAAGGGGCACCAGATATATATGCGCCACACAAATCTTATTTTATTTGTTTGAGGGCTGTGATACTGCCCGGGTGCCCAAAATGAAGCAGGTGGTTTCATTAGGAAGTCACACTCTGAGCCTTTGACCTAAAGATCTGATCCACAAGGCAGTGAATCATCGTAAGGAGATGCAGTCCCATGGTAGCCGGTGACCAATGATTTGTTCAAACGCCATTTGTTCCTTCAGGATACTGGAGCCCATGTGCACCATTGGTTTGGAATCAGGGTTTTCCAACTCCCCTAGGTGGACCCTTCATATCCACCAACCCGGTTAAAGCGCCGGACATTCGCTTTCCGTCCTCTCAATTTCGTGAATAACACCCCCGCCACGAGAAGGCAGTGAGTAGGACTTCCCTGGCAGAGTCTATATACGTGTGGCCATGTGAGAGGATTTCGAGAGGGAGTGTAGACTCTTCCCACTCTCGGCCGTACCAGGGCATTTGGGGACAACATCTACGTAAACATTGGTTACCTACTCATTGGATCGATAAGAAAGCAAACAATTGTCAACTCTTACTTGGTAAACTATACTCCACTAGAATGAGAAGCAACTTCAACCTTCTAAATATTCGTTCAAGAATTCAAAAGTGAAAATTAATAAAAATTTAAGGTAGAACATTATGATTATTTTGAGGATGTTAAATACATGTTCCAATAGAGTATTCAGAAGAAAACAATTTTTAAATTAATGTATTGACCTGAAGTAAATTTTGTTCCGTTAACTCTCCGTAGTATTTAATTTAGGCTCATTTCTATTCATTGAACCTTGGTCAATTTTCATTTGTATTAATTCACTGAACATGAAATAAGTCATTTGATTGTTAATGTATTTCTTTTGTATTCATAATGATGATGAATGGTGTTGAATGACTGCTTTGTAGGATTAGTATTATACTTGCTATTGTGATTAGTATATAGGTGAATAAACAAATAATGCAAACTTGGGCTCTTTATTCTAGTTAAAGAGCACGAAAGAAGAGGGTAGAAACAGTCTCATTCATCATTATGATGAAGTCTGAGTCAGAAATAATTGGTTTACTGCACAAATATATCAAATTAATTTCCACCAATAAAAATTAGTTATGATATAAGAACCTTAAGAATGGATTTTTAAAAAATACTTACATTGAAGCTGGTCGAACGCCAACTTTACTTTCAACATTATCACTGATTCCATTAGAGGATTTAGAAGGAAAAGCAGTGACATGTTGAAAAACAACACATCGTCGGACAGAATATCCTTTATCTTCACACATATCCATTGCAGTAGACGCAATTGCTTTAAGTTCAATAAGTTTTGACCCTCTCCATGTTCCATCAGCAGTGATAAGAATGCTACACCTGATTAAAAAAACAGGTAAGAAATCTTGTTATTACTTCGAAATAATAAATGTACTGAAATAAAACTCTACGGACTGAAATCTGCACAGTTCAAATATTAAATCAGTGTGCATGAACGAAACAAATCACAGAATTTAGGGGAAAAAGAAATGTGTAATTTTTAACATAAAAATGTTGAATAAATATATTTGCATCACCCTATTTCTCATAATAGTTAACATCATGTACTGATCGTAGTTAAACAACTGATAAAAACTAGGAAGCCCTGGACAGCTATCTTACTCTGCTATGGGGATCCTCATCAGTGTGTGCCCACAAACCCATCACCAGGAGTCCAACCCAGGACTTAAGTCACGCGCGCAAACGCTTAGGTTCTAGAACCTTGAGTAACAGCAGTTCAGTGTTTCAGAACCAATGGTGCACATAGGCTCCAGTATTCTGAGGGAACAAATGGAGTATAAACCAATTGTTGGTCACCGGCATTTATTTATTTATTTAAACACATACATATTGGTACAAAGGGGCACCAGATACATATGCGCCACACAAAATGATGAAAGTAGGAAGAGAAGGGATGAAAAGATAAGGCGGACTGAAATGTACAACCAGAAGACTCTTTCAGTCAAGAAAGCTATAACCACTCTTTATGTAGAAAGTAAAAGAAGGTTACAACAGGTTCTCCACTGGCTTTTATTCTGAGCCATATCTGATAACGTCTCTAGCCACTGCGTTGCACAATCTCTCGGACCCCAGCCAGGGAGTCGTGAAGGACCAACAGAAGCTAGCCCTTTGCAGCTTTCTTTCATACCACGACACCATGTCGTACACTGACCACCTCTCCGCTTTTTCCAACCAGTCCCAGCGTCGGCAAATAATGCATGACGTGGAATTCTCTGCGACGACATTCGTAAAACATGTCCAAGCCACCGAAGTCGGTGTTTCAAGATGGTGACACCAATTGAATTATCGTCTCTGCGCTCGAATACACGATGCCGAACCTCTGCATTACTAACATGGTGTTGCCACTGTATGTCAGCAATCCTTCGGAGACAACGATGATCGAACACAGAGAGTCGTCTAACATCCTCAACTCGGAGAGGCCAGGTTTCACAAGCATAGAGCAAAACTGCTCTCACCGACGCGTTGTAGATCCGACCTTTTACAGCCAGACTAACATCACGAAGGCGCCAAAGATGGCCCAGATTAGCATAAGCCGCTCTGGCTTTCATCATATGTGCACCTGTTATGACTCGTATAACAATCGTTATTGTATATGAAACGTGCAATGATACAGAAAATACGTACGAGCAGTCTTGATTGCTATTCGGTCCTTCCTAACTGCCTAGCCCAGCCAGTTGAGTCCAGAACACAAATAACAGCCTCGGAAATATGAATCATTATTCACAAGCACACTGGGTTATATATACTAACCAAACAGACCCAATTATACCAAAAAATAGAAAAATAACATTTGTACAGTAATTGGCCAATGTGGCTGTAGCTAGGGGGAAAGTAATCAATAATAATAGTTCCAAGGTCAAAACAAAGGTTTTATTTCATTACGTAACAGCCTTCGTTTGTGGTCACTCGGAGTAGACCGACGGGCTTCGATCGGTTGTAAGGAGCCAGAAAAAACCCAGTGCTTATAAGCGGGACGTTTCGCGAAGCCGTAAGCGGCTTTACTCACCATTTTCATGGCGTCGTGAAGATGCAACCAATGCTCATCTATACTTTTCGGTGGGATGGTAGCTAGCCTAGAAGCTAGCTCCGCTCGATACTTACGTGCAACAGAAGTTGCAGCCATTTTACTAACATCAATCCGTTGGTGGCGGTCATTTATTCGGCCACTGAAAAGTAAGGTGAGATTGGCGCAGACCAGGGCATGATCAGACACCAGATAGGTATTCCAAAAGGAGCGGCAGTCTTGTACACAACCACGCCATCGGTAGCTGATCGCGATGTGATCAATCTGAGTCCAGTCTTGGGATGCAGAGGGAGGATTCCAGGTGGCACACCGGCGATAACTGTGCCGGAAGTTAGTGCTAGCCAGAAAAAGGTTGTAGTCTGTGCACATTTGCAACAAACGGTCCCCGTTATCTGTCATGCAACCAACAAGTCCCCATCGGCCACCTAAACGACTCTCTTCTGTGCCTAGACGCCCGACCTGTGCATTCAAGTCTCCGGCTAGTACTACAATATCTGTCGAACGCGCTTTCTGGAGAAGAACAGTTAAGTGATGGTAGAACTCATCCTTGATTGCATCCGGGCTGCAATCTGACAGCACATAACCGACTGTTAATGGGGATCCAATCGGTTAGTGCTGCCTCAGCTCTAGCGCTTAGTGCGACACCAACGCCAGCAAAACCAGACGAGAATGCCACAGGGACCCTGGATAAGCGCACGTGAAACAAGCTTTTCAAGGCGACAGATGGAGAGCGAATTTGTAGTACTTCACTAGAGTCTTGAATACGGGTCTCGGACAAACAACAGACGTCAACATTAAGACTTTCTCAAGACATAACCAGCCCTATCTGTTGTCCGATCTGCATTAGTGTGCGAACGTTGAAGGGAGCCAGCTTGAACGGCGTACGTGGTTTCAGAAAGACTGTTTCAGTATTCGTAATCGGTGGAAGCATTCACTTTTGACCAGACAGTGACTAGAGATCTTTTGGATAGAACAGAGTTTCCACCATGGGCGAGATGCTGTATAAGTTGAAAAGTAAGGATACATCGTGATGTGTGGGCGAGAATTATAATGATTGGTTGTCTCGATGAGTCAGACATTAGACAGGATGACAGGTGTTATGTGTTATATATATATTCCCCTGTCCTTATTATGTATTGACTGTTTCTTGTTGATGGACTCTTATTGATTGACTGTTCCTTGTGTCGGATTTTGGTGTGAAATATATTGACGTTATAGTCAGGCTAATCTCGTGTTCTTGATCTGAGTTCTGTTGAAGTCCTGTAGAATAGACACTGGGTGGGAATCTAGTGTAGATATTCGTCTAAGATAAATTAACGTCCCACATACGTGTAAGAAGTAAAAGGACTGTTATAACAAGAACCCCTACTGTTATAACTAGCATCCTCTCCTTTACGTTTATAACAATTAGCGACGGCATACATACGTTTATTACAATTGGCGACGGTGATTAAAACGGATCTACGCTTACATATTCAATTAAAGTGAATTTTGTAACAAAAATGGATGATCTGAAAACCTTGTTGCAACAGCAAAATACTCTTATCGAATTATTAGTCAAAAATATGTTGATATCCTCAAGAACTGATGTGTCTAATTCCACTATGACTCCGGATTCTATTGCAAATTCAATAACTGAATTTAGATTTGATCCAGAAAGTGGAGTTAGTTTTGAGGCATGGTTTAAACGCCATGAGGATTTATTTATTAATGAATGTAAAGAGTGGGACGAAAGTTCGAAATTGAGATTATTATTACGAAAGCTCGGAGTGTCCGAACATGAAAAATTCTGTAATTTTATCCTCCCAAAGAAGCCATCCGACATAACGTTCAAAGAAACAGTTGAATGCCTGATTCGTATATTTGGTGAACGGTCATCAATTTTTCACACTAGATACCAGTGTCTTCAACTCGTAAAGAAAGTACAGGACGATTACGTAACGTATGCAAGTATCGTGAACCGGGAATGTGAGCGGTTCCGTTTACCAGAAATGTCCTCAGATCAATTCAAGTGCCTTATTTTTGTATGTGGATTACAATCTCCAGTAGATGCAGATATTAGAGCACGGATTCTAGCGAGAATCGAACAAGATCCTAATATCAGTCTACAATCAGTATCTGAAGAGTGTCAAAGAATGATTAATTTGAAGCATGACACGAATCTCGTAGAAAGGAACAGTGAACACGTTGGAATTAATGCTTTACGTAAATCTTTTAATAGAAATAAAGATTCGAACTCCCAAAAAATCCCGAATCAAGTGAAACACAAAACGTCTTGCTGGCGATGTGGTAAGTGTCATTCTGCCAATGCTTGTTACTTTAAAAAACGAGTATGCTTTCAATGTGGTAAATATGGTCATGCTCAAGTATGTTGTAAAAGTAGGCCGAAGGTTTCTGACCGTGAGCATAAGTCCCGTAAAAGAAATAAGATGCAGACTGCAAAAGTAATGCCGTATAACTCAAATGTTCTGGCCACAAAAAGTGACCAATTCTTATCCAAAAGGAAGTATGTAACCACTTTTTTCGATGGCAAACCGGTCAAACTACAAGTCGATACTGGGTCTGACATAACACTAATTTCTAGAGAAACTTGGATTAAAATTGGTCGACCCCGATATCAACCTACATGTTATAATGCCAAGAGTGCATCAGGAACTAATATTACTCTCCTTGGAGTAATACAGCTACCTCTCACACTAGGTGAAAAGACTATGACCGGGAAATGTTATGTATCTGGGATCTGTCATACCAATCTATTGGGTATTGATTGGATTGATAGATTTGGTTTATGGGACTTGCCGTTGAGCACTGTCTTCAATATGATTAACTCACCAGTACCGCGATCGCTGTCAAGTGACTTTAGTCGTTTGTGTGTTAAAGAATTGCGTGATAAGTTCTCAGATATTTTTGAGGATAAATTGGGACTATGCGTAAAAGTAAAGGCTCGTATGTATGTTCAACAGGAAGCAAAACCTGTGTTCCTTCCTAGGAGGCCTGTACCTTATTCGATTACTGATGCCTTGGATGCAGAACTTGACAGACTACAGAGTTCTGGGGTTATTTCTCCTGTAAATTATTCTGCATGGGCAACACCATTAGTGGTTGTAAGGAAGTCTGATGGTAAATTACGTGTATGTGGAGACTTCTCCACTGGGTTAAACAAAGCACCACAGGACCATTTATATCCCTTACCCATCCCAGAGGATTTATATAGTAAGTTGAATGGGTGCTCCGTATTTTCGGAGATTGATTTTTCTGATGCATATCTACAAGTGGAGGTCGAAGAAGACTGTAGATTCTTGCTGACCGTGAACACACACCGAGGACTGTTCCAATATAATAGACTGCCTTTTGGTATAAAATGTGCCCCGGCAATTTTTCAACAAGTCATGGACACCATGTTAAGCGACGTTCCGTTTGCCATGGCATATATGGATGATATTATTATTGCCAGTAGGAATGAAAAAGAACACTATGATCATTTACGAGAAGTTTTTGCTCGTATTCGAGAGTATGGTTTTCGTATAAAAGTAGAAAAGTGTTCATTTTTTATGTTAAGTATTCGATATTTAGGAACAATTATCGATTCTTATGGACGTAGACCCGATCCTGAAAAGATACATGCCATTGTGAATATGCCAGCTCCATCTAATGTTAAAATGCTTCAGTCATTTTTAGGAATGATTAACTATTATAGTCATTTTGTGCCAAATATGCATGCCCTGCGTGCGCCATTGAATTCACTGTTAACTAAGAACACCAAATGGAACTGGAATAAAGAATGTCAAGTGTCCTTTGAAAAAGTAAAACAGATCTTGGCGTCTGACTTATTGCTCACTCATTATAATCCAAAACTTGAGTTAATTGTGGCGGCTGATGCATCTGATTACGGCATCGGAGCGGTGATTCTTCATAAGTTTCCTAATGGTTCACAAAAAGCCATTTTCCATGCTTCACGCACCCTTACTGCGGCTGAAAAGAATTAAAGTCAAATCGAAAAGGAGGCTTTAGCCCTAGTGTTTGCGGTCAGAAAATTCCACAAGATGCTATACGGTAGGAGATTTACCCTGCAAACTGACCATAGACCGTTGTTGGCCATATTTGGCGCTTAGAAAGGAATACCTATCCACACTGCAAATCGGCTGACTAGGTGGGCTACTATGTTGCTAGGATATGACTTTGAATTACTGTATAAGCCGTCAGCTCGTATGGGTCATGCAGATGGGTTGTCAAGGTTAATCGCTAATAACCGTAAGTTAGAGGAAGATATAGTGGTTGCTTCTATATCAATTGAACCGGAAATAAAAAGTGTTCTGTGATGCTATCAGAATCCTACCAGTAACGGCGGAAGCAGTTAAAGAAGCCACGACTAGTGATCCTCTACTTAAAAGAATAAAAGAAGCTGTTTTAAAGGGTTGGAAACAGGACAAATCTGATCGAGAGTTTCACCAATTTTTCTTGAGACGTGAGTCTATATCGATTTATGATAATTGTTTGATGTATGGTGAACGTGTTGTTATCCCTAAATCTCTTCAGCTTTTTGTGCTTAAACAGTTTCACATTGGTCATCCGGGAATGAACAGAATGAAAGCAGTTATGCGTAGTTATGTCTATTGGCCATTCATGGATAAGGCTGTGGAAGAATACGTAGTGAGATGTCGGCGATGTGCCGAAGGTGCAAAAGATCCACCGAAGATAGAATCCCAGCCATGGCCAGAAACGAAAAAGCCTTGGGTCCGACTACATGTTGATTATGCTGGATCAATAAGTGGACAATATATTTTGGTGGTGGTTGATTCATATTCAAAATCGACTGAAATTTATGTGGTACGAAGACCATCTACGTCTGAAACTCTGCTACATCTGAGACAATTATTTGGTAGGTTTGGTACACCTAATGTTTTGGTTTCAGATAACGGGACGCAGTTCACGTCGTTAGAGTTTGCGGAGTTCTGTAAACAGAATGGAATCGAACACGTTAGAACTTCACCGTATCACCCTAAGTCGAACAGGCGGGCAGAGAAATTTGTTGATATTCTTAAACGAGCTCTCTTAAAGATGGGAGGAGAAGGCAACGTAGAAGAGGCTCTGCAACAATTTCTCATTTCTTATAGAATTACGCCAAGTCCAAACTGTCAAGATGGGAAATCTCCAGCCGAAATAATGTTTGGCCGACCGATTAGAACATTTTTTGATGTTTTGATCCCGAAAGACAGAATCAGTGGACTACAAAAAAATAAGAAAGGGAATTGCCCGAAAATTCGAGAGTTCAAAGTAGGTGACTCAGTCTATGAATGGGATTTCCGGCCTGGCAAGCCAAAATGGATATATGGGTTTATAAAAAAACGATGTGGTACAGTATTATATGAAGTGATGGTCGAAAATACACTAATTATTAGACATGTAAATCAACTGCGAGATAGAAAATGTGTCTATGAGTCATCTAAACTCAAACCGTTACCAATGGAAGTATTATGTGATACATTTGATATTCCACCACCACCACCACAAGTTGAAATGAGAAAAAATGATCTAGAATCAGAAGTTAGACGAAGGTCATTCAGGAAACGGAAACAAACGAAATTTTTTCAAGTAGACCCCAAAGTGAAATCATCGATCAAACTTCGAGAGGGAGGTGATGTGTGGGCGAGAATGATAATGATTGGTTGTCTCGATGAGTCAGACATTAGACAGGATGACAGGTGTTATGTGTTATATATATATTCCCCTGTCCTTATTATGTATTGACTGTTTCTTGTTGATGGACTCTTATTGATTGACTGTTCCTTGTGTCGGATTTTGGTGTGAAATATATTGACGTTATAGTCAGGCTAATCTCGTGTTCTTGATCTGAGTTCTGTTGAAGTCCTGTAGAATAGACACTGGGTGGGAATCTAGTGTAGATATTCGTCTAAGATAAATTAACGTCCCACATACGTGTAAGAAGTAAAAGGACTGTTATAACAAGAACCCCTACTGTTATAACTAGCATCCTCTCCTTTACGTTTATAACAATTAGCGACGGCATACATAGGTTTATTACACATCAATTGGGAATAAAAGGGAGTGAATAAGCGACACGGTAAATAATAATAATAATGTAAATTGTCTGGCATATAATAAACGCGTGAATCGGATTGTCAGTAGAAATCATTTTATTTATTTGTGTGAGGGCTGTAATACTGCCCGGGTGCCCAAACCGAAGCAGGTGGTTTCATTAGGGGGTCACACTCCGAGCCTTTGACCTAAAGGTATGATCCACAAGGCAGTGGAGCATCGTAAGGCGATACAGTACCATAGTAGCCGGTGACCGCAAGGAGCTCCAACTCTTGAAGCGCTACAAATCACCGCTTGCTTAAGGACCGAGAAGCCTGGTGGTCGGAGCGTGCTAATGAGATGGAAGCAGTAGCTGCATCTGGTAACTGATGGAAGCTCTTCCAACTCATCCGAGCCCAAGGCATGCAATCCGCACTTAATCAGTTGGCAATCAGTGTCCGCAGGTACGGCATGTGCTTTGCACCCTCCAAGTGCAAAATTACTCCTACAAGACTGGCAGGATTCTCATCCTATACTCACCCTGGATGGTGAGCAGATTGAAGTAGTTGGGAAGTTCGTGTATCTAGGTAGCTATATAAGTGCTGGTGGTGGCGTGAGTGATGAGATTGATGCACATATGATGAAAGCCAGAGCGGCTTATGCTAATCTGGGCCATCTTTGGCGCCTTCGTGATGTTAGTCTGGCTGTAAAAGGTCGGATCTACAACGCGTCGGTGAGAGCAGTTTTGCTCTATGCTTGTGAAACCTGGCCTCTCCGAGTTGAGGATGTTAGACGACTCTCTGTGTTCGATCATCGTTGTCTCCGAAGGATTGCTGACATACAGTGGCAACACCATGTTAGTAATGCAGAGGTTCGGCATCGTGTATTCGAGCGCAGAGACGATAATTCAATTGGTGTCACCATCTTGAAACACCGACTTCGGTGGCTTGGACATGTTTTACGAATGTCGTCGCAGAGAATTCCACGTCATGCATTATTTGCCGACGCTGGGACTGGTTGGAAAAAGCGGAGAGGTGGTCAGTGTACGACATGGTGTCGTGGTATGAAAGAAAGCTGCAAAGGGCTAGCTTCTGTTGGTCCTTCACGACTCCCTGGCTGGGGTCCGAGAGATTGTGCAACGCAGTGGCTAGAGACGTTATCAGATATGGCTCAGAATAAAAGCCAGTGGCGAACCTGTTGTAACCTTCTTTTACTTTCTACATAAAGAGTGGTTATAGCTTTCTTGACTGAAAGAGTCTTCTGGTTGTACATTTCAGTCCGCCTTATCTTTTCATCCCTTCTCTTCCTACTTTCATCATTTTGTGTGGCGCATATGTATCTGGTGCCCCTTTGTACCAATATGTATGTGTTTAAATAAATAAATAAAAGCTCACTTCATGTGATGATACAAGTGAGCAATATTGTTCCTTGGTGTAGGCAGACTGGAATTGCCAGTCCCAGCAAATCTGCATTGCCAACTGAATCGCTAATATCTTATAAATCCACTGACAGGCACTCAGTTAGCTACAACGTAGGATCGGGCACAAATAGGCATCGGTCCAAGTTGCCGTACCTCATCAGCACAACAAGATAATCACCGAGTTCTTAGAAGTAGTTATTAATACATAATACTAGAAATATAATATTTTTTAAAAAGCTGTTAAAAATACTATATTACTTGGCATCGATAATTCGATCAGCAAGAGCACAGGCAGAGAACCCACCAAATACAACAGTATGTACGGCACCAATACGAGCACATGCTAACATTGTCATCAGGAGCTCTGGGATCATAGGCATATAAATGGCAACACAATCTCCCTTTCTAATACCGAAATTCTCAAGCATTTTCCCAATTCTTTTGACCTGAATAAAGTATTTTAAATAATCAAAAGTAATTGGTCAAATACTTTAAGCCAACAAACTACCGAAAGCATGCAAGAAATTAATTAATTTACAATAATGTGAACGAGATTAACAAAAATATCGTCATCGGAATCAATTGATTAGCAAGGGTTTGTAATTTCTTATTATTGGTATTCAGGACTGCAATTAGTTGTTGTTTAAAGAGAAAGGTATTGGGTTCCAGTCTCAGTATAAGCATCAAGACAAGGATGTAGACACATCCAGATGAGGAGTCCCAAAAAGAACGAAAAGCGCTTCCTGGATTCCACTGCTACCTGCATACTAAATACGTCAGAATTGATCTATGTTCGAGGATTTACTTATAAATCATAAGGTCAATAGTTCAAAGCACACAAGTATAAAAGACAAGGCATTGTTTTTCATCTGCATAACACACACAACTTCCAACAGCATGGATGAATTATATTCACTAAGTTCCTAACTTACTACTCAAATATTCAAATACATAGAAACAAAATGAGAGATGATATTACTATTAGTAAATCAGTACAATTGTCTCTTGCAATGTACTCCGTCGACTTATTAGTATTGATAATGAATTGGAACACTTGGACTTTACTGTTTCAAACAGAAATGAAAAAAAAATAGTGGATTGCTATTTCAATTTACAAATTCGTTTCTATTAACTAGGTTTTCGCTTTTTTTCTCCTTTGGAAAAACACCTTGTGCTTTGAAATCATGTAGCGTTTCGTTGTGACTCTACAAACCGAACTTATTAAAGTGGTAGATTTGATAGCAAATTGCCCCCAAATGCCCTGGTACGGCCGAGAGTGAGCAGAGTCAGCTCTCCCTCTCCAAATGATCTCACATGGCCACGCGTATATAGTCTCTGCCACGGAAGTCCTACTCACTGCCTTCTCGTGGTGGGGTTGTTGTTCACGAAATTGAGAGGACGAAAAGCGAATGTCCGGCGCTTTAACCGGGTTGGTGGACACGGAAAGTCCACCTAGGGGAGTTGGAAAACCCTGATTCCAAACCAATGGTGCACATGGGCTCCAGTATCCTGAGGGAACAAATGGCGTATGAACCAAACGTTGGTCACTGGCTACCATGGGACTGCGTCTCCTTACGATGCTCCACTGCCTTGTGGATTAGACCTTTAGGTCAAAGGCTCCGGGTGTGGCCCCCTAAGAAAACCACCTGCTTCAGTCTGAGCACCTGGGCAGTATCACAGCCCTCACACAAATCGAATGAGATTTGTGAGGCGCATATTTATCTGGTGCTTCCTTGTACCAATATTTATGTGTTTAAATAGAATAAATAAAAAGATAGCAAATTAAACATAATGGTCATGTCAGGTTAACAGTAGGAACGAGAGCTACGAGTCAAGTTAAAACGTCAAGAAATTCTAATAACTCGATGAAACAATAAAACTTTTAGTTTAGAAGTATAGAAGTAAGTTTCGCCAAAAAGTAAAAATAGTCCCCATAATACGTTGTAAAAAGAGTCTGTAGGAAACACCAGTACAAGATACCTTACTAGGCCAGGAGTTTGATTTGCACGTTTTAGTAGTGATACCAAAAGACCCATAGTTCCGGTTGTGTAAACCGGACAAAGGTGCTTTAACACAATTTTGGATTAAAAAGCTCAAATATTTGAAGGCCGAAAGATAGTAGTGGCCAAGCCTAATAAAACGTTAGCGTCAGCCATCAAAAGTTCATGGAAAACCATAACACTAACATTTTAATTCTGAGTTGTTTACAAAACCGGTGAGTGAACTCTGTAAGTGATGCCTGAATACACACACATTTTAACTTTTGTTTTAATAAAAATTCTAAGATGGGATAAAATAGATAGTCAGCAACCAATTTAATTTGCAGAAAAAAAAATTTAAGAAATGAAAATACAAGATCTCGGTACCTTGACCAACATTTCAGAGTACGTCAAACGATTTGTATCATTTGGATCGTTACCTTCCCATAAAATTGCCACTTTATCGCCAAAACCACGGTCAACATTACGATCCAAGATATTGTAACAAATATTTGTGCATCCATCTTCAAACCATTTAACGAAAATAGGTCCTTTACGGCAATCGAAATTGTAACTAAGACATTTTCCGAATGAAGGAGGTGATTGCCAGTGAAACTTCATTGCATATCCCAACCAAAATTCTTTGGGATTACATAATGCCTTGTCGGACAACAATTTGTGTTCTTCAGCTGACTTAACATGAGCAGATTCTCTGATTAAATCACTAGGTGAAACGATACTCATGACTTTTGCGCAATTTTCTTCCCAGAATTTTTATGACTAGAACATAAAATGAGTGAATCCAGAAGACTGGATAAGTAACCTAGAATAAAGTAAACGTAATTTTATAACTTATTGAATATGCATTGGAGCTCTTGTATGACGTGCCAATGCAAAGTTAGGAAGTTTACACAATAACATAATATTGTACATGGGTTTGAAATGTGTAGAGAGCTCGAAAAATGTGATAGTGAGGTAAGCGGAGTCAGCATGAGTCATTTATCTTTGCTGTTTGGTAAAAAAATTTAATGTTGATGCATAAATAAAATCAATCTCACTTTAACTCAAGATGCAAATCGTAGTTAAAGGGTACGATTCGCTAAATTGTTTTTTCAAGACATGATCTTTAAGATATAATTATCAGTAATACCAAAGAAAATATAGCTCTCAGTAGAATGCTGTATAAGTTATGCAAATGCAGGTTCAAAAGCATTAAAGGGTGAGACTATAATTTATGGACGACGTTTGAGCGATGCTAAGGTGACCTTGAGAGCATCCACATAATAACTAGGACCAAATGAGGGTTATAAACCTGTGTGAGGAGTCCGAATTATGATTTACAGTTAATGGTTAAGGTTAAGAATTATACTTATGGTTTTCATCATGAACTGACATCAGCTGTAATTCCAAAACTCTATTTATCCAAATGGATGAGTTAATTTAGCGCCAAAATCCGAGACCTATCACCTGATTGGCTCGTTCATAAATTATAGTCTCGCCACGTTAAAGTTGGAGTCACAACTTACATTTGTTTCTATTTAGATGAGTGAAACTTGAACGTAAACCTATTTCAAATAAATATTGTTACAAAAATGGTGAAGACGAAAGATAGGAAGTGTTTACAGGTCATTGATAGGTTAGAAAACCTACAGAGGATTGGCTTACTAGTTAATATTAGCACTGTTAAAAGACATGTCTCAAATGAACTGGTGGTCAACGCTCTGATCCCCTTCAAAAGATTTTTTTGGTCGATTGGTCTCAATTCCCCATATGCCACAATAAAGAATCTGTGAAAAAGTTTATTTGCCCTTATGTGGCGTTTGACCAGCTATAGGTGATAAGACCAACAATTCAGGCCTAATCTTAAAGTGGGCCGTAGTAAAGCACATAATTGACGTCCTTTAATCTTGACTTCGATGTATGTTTAGCCAACCGCTATTAATGAATACTTAGTGACGCCTCTTATTATCTAATTCTGAAAGAAAAACCCCGCTGGGCAGATATGATTTGGAAAATGATATATACAGAAATTTTTAAATGAACAAAACACGCAACTCCTTTAAGCACCACCTTCCATAAAAACGACAAAATTGTAAGTCTCCCAGGCTTCCACACTTTTGTGACAGTGCTTTTTTCATATAAGGAATTCAATTACAGATTAAAATTTAGGGATCTTATTGAAAAAAAAGTCAAAGAATAGCTCCACAGTCTAAATTGTGATACAGTTACATGATAGACTGTAAAACAAACATATATCTTGCCAAACAAAAACTTCAATAATGAAACATGACATTAACATTACATTCAAACACTAATATCACCGGTCTGCAAGCCTAAAAACATAAACTAAGGCCGTGTGCTTAGGTTTAATGAGTAACGCAACTGTTGAAAATCTTCCAGCCAGTCGTCCAATAGACAATCAACTTAATGAAATAAAAGTAAAATATTAATTGCGAAAACTGCTCTATACCGTATAAATTTCTAGCGACAGAAATAAATTTACCTAATTCCTCATTTACCATACAGAATATCCTGCATTTTGTATTAAGGTAAATTAGTGGCAGTCAGTAATATACTAAGATCAAGCCGCTATTATTTCCATTATGGGGATTCAAGTCAGATACATCTGTTGTGGGCTTTTTTGAGTGGATTTGGAGATCATAGTTGCCTTCTATGAAATGGTTAAAACCTGAATCTTGAGACATTTTAGCAGGCTGAATTTTTCCTCGAGTTATATTACTGATAGGTAGAAGGGTTTGCAGACATGCCATTAGCGATCCCATAAGTGCGTTGAGTAGTGATACTGTTATGCATCAACCATACCAATCAGCAAAAAAAATGACTATTCGAATAGGAGACTGTGGTATTTGCACGAACTAATGATTCTTTTGTACCTGATTGTCCGCAGATTTCGAATTCCAAATACAATATGTTCGTTTGTGCTTATCCAGTTCTGTTTGACCTAAATTGCACAGTTTCTGGAATTCCTAGCTATCACATGAATTTTAATACTTCTAACCATCATAATGGCGTCGCGTTGGGGCCTGTGTTCTAACAGTTGTGTGTGCATCTAAATTCCAAAGTTTTCCAAGATTACATGAAAAAGTTTAAAATCTGGTATGTGGCAGGGAAAGATCATAAAGATGATGAAAACATGGCCCATCTGCTCACATTCATAGGAAGGTATGTCTGCAGTCTACTAAAAGCTTTGTCATTCCCAGACAAGCCTACTGTACTTCCCTGCACAACTCTCTAAAAACTACTACTAAACCATGCAAAGAGCGATGGCTTCTAATGCAGTGAAGAAGCAAAGTTACTTGAAATGGTTGACTAAAACAACCAAAAAGCGATTGTGTACCTCCTTTGACTCATACCATGGCTTTACTGTTGACACGTGCAGTACAGAGTCATATCTCAGTCCAGAAATAAATGAAACCTTATTAGCCTTACATCACTCTCAAACTGAACTCCAGCCAAAACAAACTTACACCTCACATGATATTTGTCGAGAAAGCCAGAGGAAGTCGTATTCAGGAGATAATTGGAGCAACACTATGAAACTCAGAATAATTGTGAAACAACGGTTTGTGATGAATCAGCTTATCGGATTTCTTATGTTATTTTACTATACATGAGTTATTCTCATGATGGAAATCTTCACAAAAATGAGGGAGATATGTTGAATAAATCAAATCATCATCGAAAATCTGATGCGATTTCGATGGATGCTGAATGATCTAGTGATCCATTATTCTCCTGTGATATTTTTAATAAGATTGAAGAAATTATTCTGTATGTTTAAGACCACGATGACGTAATATCAAATGTTATTTGTCCTTGTCACGAATTTGTTTCTGATGGAAGAGTATCATAAGAGTGGACAAGCAGGAATATGTGAGGGATCCAGCAACGATACGGGAAAACGCTACAAGAAGAGATTTAGGACCACTATATGACACAACAGAAGAAACTAACAGGGAAATATGGTTAATCAGGGTGATCGATCAAAGACAAAGAACGCAAACCAGTCACTGGGATTCAAGAGCAGAGGAACAAGTGGGTAAAACACTTCGCAGAATTATTGAATAGATCAGTCCCACTGAACCTACTAAACATCGAAGCAGTACACAGACCATCCTATAGCTGTCACTCCACCCACAATCAAAAAAATCAGGATGGTCATCAGATAAATCAAGAGTAGGAAAGCAGTGTGGCCAGGCAACTCACCATATGAAGCACTGAAGCCAGGCATGGAGGTAACTTCAAAGATACTCCACGTTATATTCACGAAGATTCGGGAGGAAAAACAGGTGCCAACAGATTGGAGAGAGGGATATATGATCAAGATGAGGAAGAACGATCTCAGAAAGTGTGAGAATTACGGTAGCATCACACTAGTATCGGCACCAGGAAACGTTTCCAACAGTGTTGCTGAACCGAATGAAAGATTCAATGGATGACCAACTTCGAGATCAACAGACCGGATCTCATAAAGATCGATCGTGCACAGGACAAATCAAGACACTACGAATCACTATTGAACAATCATTCGAATTAAACTTGTCATTTTTCGTCAAATTCCTTGATTATGAGAGGGCGTTTTACAGTGTGGATGGGAGAACCTTATGGAACCTTCTACTGTTATATCTGAAAAGATCGTCAACATCATATGGAACTCATACGATGGACTCATAGTGGCGTTAGAGTCTAACCTTACAATCCTCAAAGCTGAACACGAGATAAATGGGAAAATAGATAATGAGCATTTGATGAGTATAGAAAGACAACATTGGATTAATTCAAATTAATTCATCGGAAGGCATGGCTAAGCCTTGAAGGCGTGGTAATTCTTTCCAAGTTATCTCCCAACATATGGAACTCAAAACAACTGTCAAACAATATCAAAGTCATAATCTTCAATACGAACGTCAAGACACTTCAAAAGTACGGAGCTGACATCTTGCATAAATACTAAAACCATCAACAAAAAGGTACGAGTATTTATGAACAATGTCGACGCAAGATACCATCAGCAACAACCTAGTGTGGGGGAGAACAAAACAGAGGATATTAGGAAAAGACGTTGGAAGCGGATAGAACATACATTACGAAATAACCAAACTGCATCACTTGGCAAGCACTAACTTGGAATTCTGAAGGGAAACGGAAAAGAGGAAGTTCGAAGAACACAGTGTGTCGTGAATTGGAAGCAGATATCAAGATTGAGTTGAAACCCTACCGATGGGATTATATAGTAATAGTGCTATACAGAAATTGACTGTAGTATTGAAGGATGTATTTGGTAGAACCGCAGGTAGTAGTTTTGACGTTAATTAGAGTTGGAATCACCCAGTATTGAGAAGCCTTAAAGTTGGACAAAAGAGTTATCTGGTGCAACCATATATTCAGAGATTGTTCAGATAATATCAGGACAGAACCAATTAGTTTCATATTAAAACTGAGAATATTAATCCGAAAAGTCCACAAGAGTAAATAAATATGCAAAGTAATGTTAACTAGAAGTTGGTTGAAATTGTGAGGAGTATATATAAAGGATATTACGTAAAACGGCTTCACCTCACTTCTTTTAACACTTAAGTCATTGTCAGATGATAGAAAGCCTATCCGTCATCACATTAAGCTTTCCCAGTGCTTTCAATACATTCTAGTATACTTATTAGTCTGTAGTAGGCGTCGAGTCGAGGATGGACTATGATCACCACTACAATTCGATTACGCGCCCAGAGACGACTTGGTTCCTTTGATAACTCGCAAACCAGAAGGCTTTAATTAGTCCAGATAAAGTATATTTATTGGCGATCTCGTGGTATCGAAAGAATACCGAGACGTGCCAACGAGTACAGGGAAAATGGACAGAGTGTAAGAAAGTTCGAACCAAACAAGGCGGACAGCGGAACCAGAAATGAGTCTGATACAATTAAACAAGTACAGTAAAACAATCGCTGGTACAATTGGTTAAAATAATAATAATTGTTTCTATTATTCCAATCGTGTTCTTATCGAGACAGGCCGGTCACTATAAGTCCATGATATGGTTCACCTCAAAAACAACCATTTTACTAGAAGGTAGTGTAAAGTGTAATTAGGTATGGTCTGAGTTCTTCAGTTATGGTATTGAGATGCTAAGCTTGAGGTCACAGAGTATGTTGCAGTTTAAAAAATCTAACTGATGTGCAACATTATATCATCTCACAATACCGATTGATTGAATACCAAAGATATTAATTACCTTAAGGTGTTGATCATTTCAGTAATAAATTTTCTTCAGTAGCTGATATTTCGAATCAAACTTTTGAATTTCGAACTACTTATTTAGTTTATTCGAGTACAGTGCAATTAAACTCAAAAATCGATTAATTTCGGCATTTCAAATTTTAGATTTCAAAATGAGAGACAGTATTTTATTCGGCACTCAGTGCGAAAAGAAAACGCAAGCTGGAGTATTCTTTCCACATTGATACAACTAACAGACAAAATTTATAACTGTTTGCAAGCAAGTTATGAGGATAGTTGTGAAAATTGCGTTCTCGAATTTCACGCAGAATATCATGCTACTTATTAGTAGTTTATATTTACTAAGAAGATATTCGGAGTCGAAAAGTTGAGAGCTGTTTGTGACAAATTGGCGCACAAGATCGTGGTAATTGTAATCATGTATTCAGAATATCGTTGTGGTTATTCAGTCCGTGGATAAAGCTCGATCAGAGGAAATAAATATTTTTCAGTCTTCTAAAGTATCCTCATTTGTGTGCATGCGGCTCTAACGATTCATTATTAAAAATGAGACCAACCAAGACTATAACAACTAACATTATTAGTAACTAATTAACGACATGGCTGAATAATAGATCAATCCAATATTCTTCTGAAGTGGTATCGTTTTAAATTATATACGTAAATGACTACTAAGTGAAAGCTTATCTTGCCCAGTCGAATGCAATATCGATTAGGAAGATGTGTGGATAAAACCTCATGCTTGGTAAGAAAAATAATATATTTGTGATATCCCGATTAGTAGTAATTGGAATTACTGACGTCTCGTGACTCAGTGTGATTCACATGGTCAGAGCAAATAAATAATTGAATTAAGCTAACACAGTTTTAAATAGTATGAATGAACGAGGAAGAATATTTTTTTTAAACAAAATAAAAATGGGTCTGATTATATCAATGTCATGTGTTTTGATCAAGATGATTCTATGTGAGAAATCAATTTGTATTTGTGTGAATAACGGTGGTTGTCAAGAATGTGAAATTAGTAGATGATTTAATTAGACTTCTGATTCCCACTTGATTTCATACTTCCGCCTTCAACCTTACCAGTCAAATTTAAACTCATCATTAAAATTCATGGAAAATTAGACAA